AGTTTGGAGAAAGGACTTGTCAGTACTACGCTAGGGGTTGGACAAACGAGGATCGGGTTTCGATCCGGGCCGGGCTGGGGGGGGGGCACCCAGCCTCCTATTCAAAACGAACCGCGGATTTTTTTCCCCCCCGGGGATAACTCGGCCGGTACTTGAATCTGACCAAACCTCTAACAAGTGCCGAGGTTAGGAAATCCTGGATGGATATCTTTACTCCCCCATACATCGAAATTCACCTTATATCTTTTTTTTTTTTCCTTGGCACTACAGCCCCAGTGGGCCTAGGCCTATCTCCATGAACTTCTCCGTTCACTTCGGTTTTTCTAAATCTTACACATTCGGTAGGACTCCTTGGGCGGGTGATCAGCTCGTCGAAAGGCCTCTACCTGTACACAAACAGAGAAATGCGCACACACACACAAACTAAACATCCATGCCCTGAGAGGGATTCGAACCCACGATCCCGGTTTCCAAGCGAGCGAAGACAGTGCATGCCTTAGACCGCTCGGCTACCGTGACCGGCCCTTATATCTTTACCGTAGTTAATTAATAATTATAAACGGATCGCCCACTCTTCGCTCGAGATGTGAGTCGCCAGGGCAGCGGTCTACTGCTGCTATCAGACGCCGCCGCCTGTATAGTTGATAGTTACCGACGTTTCAGGGATATCACCGCGTATAAACTTCAAAGAAGGAGCAATACTCAGATTAAGAAATTAACGTTTATTCTTGTAATTAAAAGAAAGGTTTGGAAGTGAGAATTCCAGTCGCAATCAGAGACTCCGTTGAAACACTTGCACATCGCTTTAATACCCGTGGCTGCCGTACATACTGGTAAAAGTAATGTGGTGAGATTCCTATGTTAAGTCTGAGGTAGGAACAGGTTGCAGAAACGTTATGCTTTTACACACATGAAAATGTCTCAAGAGAATAATTCCCTTCATAGCAAACGGCAGTAGAAGTAGTAGACCTGTAGCTAAACGGTGACTCTGTAAACAGCGGCCGTTGCTAGTTAACGCCCGCAACATGCATGCTACAGTGGAAGAACGGGGTTATGCAACTCGTTTATAAGCAACGGATCGGTAAGGACGTCTACAACAATAGGAGTAGTGTTCGGAACAGTGTTTTCTATTCGGTCCGTGCAAAGTGGCTGAAAGAAGAGTTTAGTCAAGAATCGTCAGTCGAGTTGCGGAGTTCCAAGTGAGCAGTTAGTTGCGAGTTGAGCTCTGCAAGGGAGGCAGAGAACATCCCGCTATGAGTTCAGGTGTGGAGTGTTAACCGGCAGGCAACAGCGTGACCACGGAAGCTGAAGAATCTCCAATGTTAAGATTCGTTACCCGGAAACGTCTAATGAAAACACTGCAGACGAACAGTCATTGTTGAGAGCTGTTACCAAGCAACGACTAGTGAAAGCAGACTGAGAAGACAGCGTGGAATAATTTGTTGCGTGGAAATGAGCAACAATGCTGTTATAATTTCGTGTAGTTCCGAGTAGTGTATACAAGTGGTCAATAAATCCATTCACCAATCCATACCCCGTCTATAGTCACACACCCCTATATGGTGGTAATAATAATAATAATAATAATAATAATAGATTGGAGATGAGAATTCGAGTCACACCCAACTCTCCATCTGTTTGGCAGCTGTGGTCCCTGTAGTGGCAATTTGGGGTAAGGAGATGTAGTTAGGGACATTTCTCCTGGGCTGTCACCTCCCACTGTTGTGTAGAGTTACCTGCTCAAACTGTTTACCTCTCAACTAGATCAAAGACACCGTTGTCCCACTGCATAATTAATTAAGTGCTATGCCATGAAGACGAATGGGGCAGTGGACGTATAGCTGTACCATTATTGAAGTCTGCACTAGAGGTTGGTGAGTTATCAGCTTAACGCCCCGGCCGCTTTTCCCCCAGGTAAACCCACTCAACAGCAGGCTAGATGGTCCCCAGAGCTGGTGTCCGTGGCGGACACAGAACTAACCCAAAGCGTGAAACCCCCATTCATTTTCGTTATAACGAAGGGGTGTGCGCAGTCACTACAACAATAAACACGTCAGCCTCACTTAATAATTGACGTGGGGTAGCTCGGTCGGATTAGACTGGACGACCGAGGAATTTTCATTGGATTCCGGGCAGAGACTTTCTCCACATGTCCAGACCGGCTGTGGGGCCCACCCAGCCTCCTATCCAGTGGGTTACCTGGGGGTGAAGCTGACCGCTCACCTCCATCTAGTGCCACTCCTCCCTATGTCTTTATGGTGCGCTAATTACTTAAGCTGGGAACAATTTTATCTTGCCGAAGACAGCTTCCCGTGTACGAGTATGTTTCGTTCTGTTTATAACTGATTTGGAAACGAGGCAAACCGTCATGCAGCGAACATTAATTATGCTCTGACAGGCGTTTTCAAATGACTGTCTTTGTTTGATAGTCGTTTAGTGGATTTCCATGTTCGGTTTAACTTGGCTTAGCTGCGGCATGTTGTTAATGAGCCGCAAAGCTGAGCGGTCCGGAATCATGTTACCGTCTGTTCCCCAGCAGAGCACCGTGTGCGCTGTGCCGCCCCAACAAAAGCAGGAACACGCTGGTTGTGCACCTACAGCGGCCGGGGTGCCATCAAATAGCACCTTAACCCGTGGTTTCCCAAACTGTAGGGTTCGCTGTGTGCTCACTAACATCTGATATTGCGACGTAGAGGCCCGTTGCTAAGCGCCGACGCTGTAAACAGTGGCCTTTGCTAGGTAACTCCGGCAACATAACGCAACAGTAGAACTTTTCTATGTGGTCCGTGCCGAGATGTTATAACCATGAGGTCTGGAGCTTAGTTCAGTTGGGAATGAGAGGTAGGTGTCTGCCTCTAATTTCCAGGCGGGACCATTAGGCTGAGTCCCCCGTGTGGAGGCGGGGTTGAATACCTCTACCGTGACTCTGGGAGTTGTAGGAGGCGACGAAATTGAAGTCTCAAATCTGAGACAGTAAAATATGGTCGCGAGTACCAAGGGATTCGAACCTGAGAAAGACTGCGCTGGCAAGGGCCAGGAGCGTAAACAAAAGACAGACCCGTCCTCCCGTCAGAGGGCGCCCCACAGAAACAGGACCGTAACTGTCAAACAGTAATAAACATCTGGTCATGAGCCCCAGGAGGGGGTTCGACACCAAGACTTACTGACTGACTGGCTGACCGTCTGTTGCAATGTGACTGACCTTAATTTAGTCAGTTGTGAATGAGTTGTGTATGGGAGGCTGTGAAGAGAGGACTTGAGCCGGAGGCAGAGGAATATACATTGTTTGAGCCGTTACCAGGAAACGTCTAGAAACGCTGAGAACACTACAGTTTGTGCTCTTTTGAACTGTCAAGTTTGGAAACACCGCAAGTGTTAGAGTTATTTGTAGTGACGACCTGTAAATGGTCAGTAAATCCATTCACCCATCCAAACCCAGTCTGTAGTCACACACACTGCTTGACAATATACATGCTTTAGGAAAACGTGCCAGCCACTGGGGAGACAGCTCGTGAATTCTGTTCGTGACTGTACAGGAACATTTTATAGCTTACTGTAGGTGTAGAGAGGCTGTAAAGCTATTTAGGTTCCTGCTGTCACCGTACAGCCTGATAGGGACCTGCAACAGTGTGCAGAACTGCACTTTTCGTGACTGTACAGGAACATTTTATAGCTTACTGTAGGTGTTGAGAGGCTGTAAAGCTATTTAGGTTCCTGCTTTCACTGTACAGCCTGATAGAGACCTGCAACAGTGTGCAGAACTGCACTTTTCGTGACTGTACAGGAACATTTTATAGCTTACTGTAGGTGTAGAGAGGCTGTAAAGCTATTTAGGTTCCTGCTGTCACCGTACAGCCTGGTAGGGACTTGCGGCAGTGCACAAAGCTGCACTTTTCACTTACCGTTAGAAATGGTGATTGGAGATCACTTACTTACTTATGGAGCTGAGCTCTTCTTGATGAGCCAAATCAGCAGCTACTCAAGAATTTCCGAGCACTTTATGGAACCCGAAGGTTCATTACCGTGTTCACAAGAGCCCTCCACTGGTCCCTATCCTAAGCCAGATCAGTCCAATCCATACCAGCCCATCCTATCTAAGATCCATTTTAATATTGTTCACCCACCTGCGTCTTGGTCTTCCTAGTGGTCTCTTTGTCTCTTTCCTTTGGCTTTCCCACCAATATCTTGTATGTATTCCTTTCCCCATTCGTGCCTGCCCATCTTATCCTCCTTGACTTGATGATTCTAATTATACTTGGAGAAGAGTACAAGTTATGAAGCTCCTCATTATGCAGTTTTCTCCAACCTCCAGTCACTTCATCTCTCTTCGGTCCAAATATTCTCCTCAGCACCCTCAGTCTATGTTCCTCCCTTAATGTCAGAGACCAGGTTTCACACCCATACAGAACCAGAGGCAGAATTATAGTTTTGTATAATTTTTATACGTAACTTTTGTTGTGCGGGAACGCACTGTAGGTCCTCAGGTAACGTCTAACGAAAATCCATTCAGCCGTTCCACAGTTTCACACACACAGACGGAAGGACCAAGGAGTTGGAACATTCCCTCCCGCAGGGACGTGATAGGGTCCGGAAAGTCGCTTTCCGCCTTACAGAGAGAGAGAGAGAGAGACTGGTTCTATTTCAAAGACCAGCCGATTAATGCCGTTGAGGGAAATGGTTATCCGACCGAAATTTTGTAAACATTTCTTATCTCGAAATCCTGGTGCGTGTCCACATTTGGTTACACAACCCTAATATCTCATTATGCAGTCTTTCTCTTACTTCCTCCAGTGTTAGCCCTCATAATCCCTTCAGCACCCTGTTCTCAGACGCTGTCAGCCTGTGTTCTTCCCGTAGGGCGAGAAACCGGGTTTGAAACCCATACACTATATAATGGAACCACTCCACTCCTGTTAAGCAGAGCGCCCAAGGGACGGCCTTCATGGGGTATGTAGTCTACAAATTATCAAATTAATGGAATTTGTATTTTCATTTTTCAGTGGAGGAAAATTCATTAGCATCGGGGAGAAGATTAGACTTCCAGATGACGTCACAATGGGCTACATCATCGGTAAGTAATCATTATTTGTTTCAATGGTAACACATTCTCGCCTGCTGGTAAACCAACGTTACTACTTACATAGTACCTAGTGGCTTCATAGTGTGAGATGGACACGGCATGTAGCGCGCATGAACGAAAAGTGCATACAGCGTTCTGGTAGGAAAAACTGAAGGATAGAAATCACTAGGAGCACCTAGGCATAGATGGTGGATAATATTAAAATGGATCTTGAAAAAATAGGATTAGTTTAGACGGGATTAATCTGTTAATGTTATATTTTAGCGTCCTGTTGCACTGATTTATGTCCATGATTTATTCTGACCGTCTTACAGTGCATACATTTATTCACCTTACTCTTCTCTCTTGCACTACATGTTTCAGCAGAAAAGTGCCATCTTCAGGTGCTTTTCGATGTACGTCGAACTACTTCATTGCATGCCCTGTTGTCTTTATACTAAAATAACTAAAATATATATTCGTCATATATATTGATAAATTTTAAATATTAAAAATATTAAAACTGTTCAGGATTTGTCATCCTTACGTCGTATCTCAATACGCGAGTCACACCTATCTTCCTCTATCGGGGTATNGTTCGTACAGATTAGTTTCTGTTCAATTCACAATCTAGATAAGACTAACTTAAAACTTTAACCAAAGTCTAGTATAAGTTTTATCTGGATTGAGAATTGAATAGAAACTAATTTGTACGAATCGTTTAGAAAAATGGAAATTTTAGCGTTTCATTTCGGTAATAGTATGTGAGAAACTTGCAGCACGCGAAGATGACCCATGCGTGCTGTATAAATAAATAATATAGTATTGTTGCGTTGACGGTAACAATTATACTCGTATCTGTTCACTGTCCTATATATGCAACAGGATGCAATCCTTAAAAATAATAATTCCTACCCCCANGTACTCATATTAAGATGTTACAAAGCATACTCACGCAATTAAAAGACTGGAAATTGGAATTCGAGTCGCGGCGGAAAACAGACAGGAAAGCTACATTTGTTATGTTAGATACGGAGACCTAAAGAAAATTCAAAGATAGTGAGTGATTTGTCGATGATATGAAATCATTTTTTCAAGTTTTAGTTACACTGGTGCACCAGAGCTCATAAAAGTCACGATTTGCATTTTCTCGCCTGTATTTAAGTCATCAGACTCATTACAGCATACGCACCTCTCAGTGGCGTGCAGTACTATTTTTGGTAAGGGAAGCAGTGGTATCTAATAAACGAACTGACAGCAATCAACTCACCAAAATTCACGTCACTTATTGAGTCAAAAAGGTCGTTTTGTATTCTGTTCGATAAACCTGTAAATACTGTACTGTTCTCAAGGTGGACATTGAGTTTATGATCATATTTCCTCAACAAGTGAACTAATTCCACAGAATTACCTCGCTTTCGTCATGACCACGGAGGCCAAGTTGTCGCTTTCCTAAATGGCAGATGATATCAATCAAGCATTTCATTATTTCTCTATCTTCTTTCACATTTTCATTCTGCTGTAGTATCGTCAGGCGCTTTTGATTGTCAAATTGACAGTCAGTTCGAGATTTCCCGAACATAACAAGTTGCCCTGTTGAAATAATGTGACTTATGAGAGTTCTCACGTTTCAATGCTATATAAAGGTTGTTGATATCACCAAACCCAGTCTTGTTCCATACATTTTTTCATTGAGAAACAATAGGCATGGCCAACAAAACAATTTTCCTACATTACGGCAACCGGATAGCCACTCTGTTTTAGAATACTGTTCCAAATTAAACTTCCTCATACATAATTTGGTTTGTGCTTTAAGTTCTGGCAACTCGCATGTCGATCGTCCTCTTTCTATAATTATTTTCTTTTCAGAAAAGTCCCTGCTATTAAACTCCCGTTTTAAAGGCTTTTGATTGCACAGTCGCAGTCGCGTTGTCTGCCAGCATTCATTTTAGCTGTGGCCTGTGCGTGTAGTCTAATCACGCCCCTGCCCGTGTACCACAATATCAGACTTGCTTCTTTCTGATGCGTTAAAATACAATCTTAAGCCATATAAATATGCACTTACAATATTTTAATAACACGTAATGTTGCTTATAACAGTGGTCCTCAACTTTTAAGAGACCGCGGCCGAGTAAGTTCTTTTTTTATGAGACGAGGGCCCAGTTCCAACAAATTTACTGGTAAATACCTTTCCAGTTTTGTTAAAGTTCATCCATTAAGCTAACGTAATATTAGTAATTAATTATAGCATAAGCATAAAGAGTATTAGTACACTTATCTATACGGTGTGGAATGTTGACAAACATAAAATTACATTTAAATTAGTTACCAATCACTAGGCTAATAAAATCTTGTAGCATTTTGTAGTTTCCTCAGACCAACATCATTAAATTAATTTGTGCTAATTTTCATTGACATATCCCATGCTGATCACCAAAAACTTATGTTATTCCGCGTAAAATTGATTTTAATGATGTTGGTTTGAAAAAACGGCAGTGAGAAAAATATTTATTCATTGTAACTCACCATAGAAGTCAGCTGAGATGGGGAAGAAGCAGAAGGATGTCAACTTGCCGGCGAAACACTTATTATCACGTACACACGCCAAATAATTATATATGTAAAGTATGTAATTTGATAAATAAAAATTTATGAATCTCTCAATTCTAAACACTACTTCCAACACTAATTAATATTTTGATTTTAAAAACGCAGCACTTTAACACAGCAATTATAAGTTATTGGAAGTTAAACTTAGTTTCTTTTATCACAACTGAGTCTGGAAGGGTTTCGTTAGGCTAGTGAGACTTCTGTTTCTGTTTTCCGTCCGTTAGCTTATTAATTCTGGGATGAATTGAAGTGAGAGCCAAATGGAGACAGTCAGAAAGTTGCAGGCAGTTCCTCTGTTTCGTTTTAAGCACAGTCATGGCAGAAAATGCAGTTTCACAAAGATATGTGGTGGAAAAACAAAGAAGAAACCTCACTGCTAGTTCATGTAAATTTGGATATTCATTTTTCATTCTTATCCAGAATTTCGAATTACTCGTAGTATTAAAAGTACTTTCCAGTCCTTTGTCCGATGATAATTCAATGAGTTGAAGGGTTTCTTCATAGGAAAGGGCTGTCTCTTTGTGTTCAACAAAAGGGTTCACAATCCACATATTTTGCCTCCGGGAATCCTCATGTTCGGGATAATATTTTTCAAACAACAACAACAACATCTTCAAGTGGGCTGCAGTAATATCTGAAACTAAATTCTGTGAATAGAAATCATCTGCTTCCATAATATAATCTGAGTACAACTGAAATATTTCATTGTTTCCTTCTGCAGTCATATTAAGCCAGAGTTTGAGTTTATTTTTGAATGATTCGATCTTGTTCCACGCATTAAATATTGTTGTATCTGAACCTTGAAGTTTTAAATTCAACTCGTTCATGTAAGAAAATATGTCGCTGAGATACGCCAGCCTGGCTACCCACTTCTTATCCTGGAAATAATGGGACAGATTACTTTTCTTATCAATTAGAAAGAGCTCGACTTCCTTTCGGAGTTCATATAACCTCTTGAGAACTTTACCGAGGGACAACCAACGAAGTTCCAAATGGAAAAGAAGATTTTGATAATCGGAGCCCCATTTCATCGCACGATGCTTTTAACAGTCTTGTATTTAAGGAACTGTTTTTATATAATTAATAATCTTAACAGATTGAGACAGGGCTTCATTAAGCTCAGGTGTCATTTTTTTTGGAGGCCAGGTTTTGCCTATGAATGTAGCAATGCGTTGACACTAAGTTATTGCCCGCCATATCCTTAATTTTAGTGACCAAACCTGAATTTCTACCTGCAAGACAGGCAGCGCAAACTCCAGCGCAGTTTTTCCATTCGAGACTTCTCTCGTCAATGAAACCATTTAAAACTTTGAGAATTTCACTGCTGGTAGTGTGCGTAGGTAATTCAGAAACACTTAAAATGTCTTCCTTCATGTCACTCTCATCATGGTCACTATATCGTACATACGTAAGTAAAATGCTGCTGTTCTGAATATCTGTAGATTCGTCCAGTTGTAATGCAAACAATTTCGACTTTTTAATTTTTTAAATGACTTGCGTTCCTGTATCTTCTGCCATATCAGATATCCGCCTACCAACTGTATCATTCGACAATGGGATGTCTTTCATTCTACTTGCCGTAGACTGGCCTGATACTTCATTACAAGCAGAAATCAAAGAAGGCTTAATGAGTTCTTCCCCAATGGAATATGGTTTTTTACATTTAGCTATCTGTAGTGATATTAAATAGGATGCCGTCAGAAGTGAAGTGTCAGTGGTTGAAGCTTGGTAAATAATTTTCTTTTCTACTTTAAGTGCATCTCTTTTACGCATAAAGAATTCAATGGGTTTGTTGACTAGATCGGAATGTCTTGTGTTGAGATGTCGGGTAAGTCGCGATGGCTTCATAGCTTCATTTCCCAGAACAGTAGCACAGATGACACATTGAGGTCGTGGCAATTGGTCAGTGTTAGGGCATTGTATGAAACCAAATTTTAAGTAGCTGTCCATGTACTTACGAATGGATGCAGACGTTTTCTTCTGTATGCTGGTGGTTTTCCCTTCATTTTGTACATCCTGGAGATCGCTATGTAGGCTTGAGGTGGATGAATCACTACTTGTTGCCTCACAAACACCTTCAATACGAGATTTCTTAACACCAAACTTAAACAAAGTCCCCTGTTTCTTATTCATATTAAAATTTAAATCACTCAGGTTTCGAAACAAGCACTTACACACTGCAATGCGAACTTGCGAAGAAACAGTATTCAGTATTACTAGATCTGAGAACCGGATACAGACTGCCTTGATCTTCAATTTCAGTGGAAACATTTTCTTTATACTTCCTTGCTGATTGGTCACTGACATTTGCAACACAGATGTTATTTCGCTCAGTTCTGAGAACAGAGGATATGCCGCCCATTGTTGTAATTGGCTTGCAGGCAATTTTTATGACTGGTCATAAACGTCGGTATTGCCTTTCCCGAATGTTGAAAGATTTGGAAGTCTGAAAATTCCCGATCATTCATGAATACTTCCATGTTTAAAAATATGCGGCTTGGTCACTGACATTTGCTACACAGATTTAGGTGTTCTGTGTCTGAGCTTCTCGACACAAATATTATTCTCCTCAGCATATTTCCGCTATAAAATAGTTATTCATGAAAAATGCTTAGAAAATGAAAATGACAAATTCCAGAAGAGCCTCTCGCGGCCCAGTATAATTGATGCCAGGGCCCATTACTGGGCCGCGGCCCGGCGGTTGAAAAGCACTGGCTTATAACACCCAACAAGACAGAAATCACGCATAAACAGTTAATTTTCACATAACCGTCTAAAGAACACTTTCCTTCGCTGGCCTAGCCAGGAAACCGAAATTTCCTTTCTTGGCCACTTCGGATGAGACGAATTCGTACGAAGATTAACGAATGGAAACTTGGTACGTCTCACCAAGCAGTGAAAGGGAGGAGGAGGCATGTGGCCTTGAGCAGGAACACGCGCTAAATGACAATATTCACATCCTTATTATTCTAATTGAATTATTTATATATTACTTCTTTTCTTTTCGTTTCCTAACTACGGAAGCAATGCTTCCCTTGCTTCCATGCACGGCACGCCACGCCACTGGCGCCTCTGTAACAATGCGGCCTATGAAGCCGTGACTAATGGGTAATAAGTGTTTTGTCTTCAAGTATATAATAAAATTGATGGAATGATTAAAACATAATCACGATTTTCCTTTATTATAATACAGTTCTTTATAATTTTGAACAGCATATAGGCCTGCCTACCCCTGCTATACCCGTATATATATATATAAGACACGTCCTCTCAATCAGTAGAATGTTTGTTCCATGAGAGACGCTGTTCACGACTGTGCCTCAACGTCCGGCCCTCAATGGATGAGGTCAGTGTTGCCCCCATCTTGTCATGTCCAACTGATCCGTAAGGGTGAACTGGTTTGAAGTTCAGCATAGAGGATTACAATATCGAGTGTGATGAAGTGGATAGTCCCGTCATGCATGGGCGTGTTCTTCAGATTAACACGTTCAAGCACAATGGTTACTATATGTACCATGTGCCGTAACATAAGAAAATTCTGCCCACACAGTGTATTTATGTGTTCCGTATGGTTCTCACAGTAAACAGCGACTGTTTCCCTAAACTGCATTAACCGGTCGGACTTCGTAGCGGAGACGTAATGTGTTTCCTCTGAGGTACAAACTGAACTCTGCATTCTGCCCACACAGTGTATTTGTATGTTCCGTATGGGTCTCACAATAAACAGCGATTATATCCCTAAACAGCATTAACCGGTTGGGCTTTGTAGCGGAGACGTAATGTGTTTCCTATGAGGTACGAAGTGAAGGCTTATGATATGATTTAGATGAAGTTCAGGCGTCTGACTCCACGTGGAGGCGGGTTCGAATACCTCCACCGTATCACTGCGAGTCGTAGCAGGCGACAAAAAGGGAACCCAGTGCCTGGGGGTATAAATGGACCACGGTGTTTCTGGGGTATATAAATAACGTACAAGGACCTGGCTCTCCAGGTTGGGGGAGTCTCGAACCTGAGACAGTAAAATATGGTCACGAGTCCCGCAGGACTCTATCCCCCGAGAATGAGATTGCGCTGGTGAGGACCAGTAGGAATTGTAAAGAACAGACACATCTTCTTACCAGAGTGGGTGCCCCACATCAACAAACCTGCAACTGCCTGACAGTAATAAAAATGTGGACTTGGGCCCCACATGGGTGCTTGACATCGAGACAGACTGGCCGACTGACCGTCGGTCGTAACGTAACTTTGACTTCAGGGCTTCTTACAGCCAAGACATTAGCAAAGATTTCAGAACTGAATCTGCTCTGACACAGATAAGTTCACGGGATTACTCAGATGCAGGGCATGCTGTTCACGTGAGACTTAGTGCTGATGCCTCATGACAGTTGCAGCCGCATTGCAGACAATTCCTCCTGTCTATCTTCAACCTTCAGAGGCATTTGTCAGCATTATCTCCTGTCTATCTACCGCAGTGTTTCTCGACCTCTTCTCTGTGGTGACCCCTTTACTGGCCAAGCGTTTCGCAGTCCCCTTACTATATGCGACTGGATAGCTTAGTAGGTACGAGTATATTGACCGGCTACGAGCTGGACGGCCGATGAATCCGGGTTCCATTCCTGGAGGTAAAGCGGGAGGGGAATGAAGCTCCATATAGTGCCGAGGTTAATAATACATTGACTTGTACCTCCACTTTTCTCATACATGTTCGTGGCGTGGTACTCAATTCATTAACCACCAGGACAAGGTTACCATTATATTCATCTTAAATGGGCTCATTATAGGGACCTGTGGCGGCGTGTTAGCGAGGATTTGCTCTACTGAGCCAGTGTAATTTATGCTCCGTGTAGTTAAGTTTCCTAGACCGATAGAAGATGGATAATGACGCAGGAACAGAACGCCCTAGAATTGGTAAGTCTCCTGACGTAGCGCTAGCGCCTGATCCAGCATTAGCCTTGGCCATCTCCCCATGTTGCAAATGAGTGTGGTCGTCTTAAACGTCAAGAGCTAATTCTTTTCGCTTCTAAGACGATTTATCTCATGTTGTTCCCGCCTTTTTGTCTTCCTGGTGTATGCAAACTGAGGTGGGCCGTGGCGCCGGAGGAATTTACGGCAATTTCGATAATTAATGACAAGTGAACATGGCCTCCCGTGGTTTCCCTAATATGTCATAGTCAGCTTAGTATGCTTTTGATTTTCCTTCGCATACTACAAACTGTAATAATTCCATGCGTCCTCTTGAAACAACCAGTAACCAACACAGAGCCTGCTGAACCGGAGAGGCTGTTACATTTAGGCCAATTTTCCACGAGCGTTTATGGCGCATCTTGGTGAGCCTCTGTTTTAAACGGAGCTGTTACCACAGCGACACAACTGGGCAGTGGTTCGCCAAGACACACCACAGAGTCTCGTAGGAAAGGAGGGTATACTGGGATATTAAACTCTGCAGAATAACCGTATGGCCGGTCACAGTGGCCGCGCGGTCTAAGGCATGAACTGTCTTCGCTCGCCGAAACACAGGGATCGTGGGTTCGAATTCCACTCAAGGTATGGATGTCTGTGTGCAGGTAACGGCCTTGCGACGGCAGATCCCCCGTCCAAGGAGTACTACAGACTGTATAAACTCCGTGGCTTTTAGTCCGCAAGCGAACTATACCGACCGACCGCGTCTTGTCGGAGAAGTTAGTACCAATTTTAGCGGTTAGAGGTTGTCGCGTAGTCAGCGCGACGGATTCCCACGACCTTTAATCTCGGTTTTCTAGAGCAGAGCCGCTATTTCTTTGAAATAGCTCCTCAATTATCTCACTAGGCTTAGTGCGCCCCGTTCCAGACCCACTACTCAGAAAATCTGGTAGCGCCGGGAATCAAACCCGGGACTTCTGGATCTGTAGCCAGGAACTCTGACCACTAGACCATAGAGGCGGTCTGTGTATAAAGAAACTGATAAAGTGGCGAAGGCCCACAGTGGCTGTAGAGCCTCAGATAGAACAGCTGTATGCAGTAACCGGCGCTGAAATCTAGAGGAACTCTCGACACAGGCATACATTCGCGGCCGTTGATTGTTTCATACTCTGCTCCTGATCGCAACTACTACCGCCTTCTACCGTTTGTGTACATTATGATACTACAAACAGGCGTTGGCCGTTTGAATGCTATGTAGGGACGAGGCATTCGGTCGACGCTCATGGTTGCAAGGCAACATATCGGATAGGACCAAACAGGTTGGCTTAGCGGTAACGCTTCTGACTCGTATCCAAGGAATGGGGGAGTACTCGGTTCGATTCTTGTTTGGGACACCGATAACCCAGATTTCCCGTGGTTTTCCTTACTTTCTACAAACAGATGGCAGAGTACCTCGATTACGCAACGACCGCATCCTTCCAGACTCTTTCCCGTTCGTCACTCATCGCATCATTCGACTTCGTATAGTCCTGCTGCTGACAGCATCGTTAAATGATCCATTAAGACAGTACTGTTGTTACGAACCGCCTAGGGCATCGCCAGGGCACAGTACTGTTGTCACGAACCGCCTAGGTTGTCGCCAGGGCACAGTACTGTTGTCACGAACCGCCTAGGTTGTCGCCAGGGCACAGTACTGTTGTCACGAACCGCCTAGGTTGTCTCCAGGGCACAGTACTGTTGTCACGAACCGCCTAGGTTGTCTCCAGGGCACAGTACTGTTGCCACGAACCGCCTAGGTTGTCGCCAGGGCACAGTACTGTTGTCACGAACCGCCTAGGGCGTCACCATGGCACAGCACTGTTGTCACGAACCGCCTAGGGCGTCGCTAGGGCACACTACTATTGTCACGAACCGCCTAGGGCGTCACCATGGCACAGTACTGTTGTCACGAACCGCCTAGGTTGTCACCAGGGCACAGTACTGTTGCCACGAACCGCCTAGGTTGTCGCCAGGGCACAGTACTGTTGTCACGAACCGCCTAGGGCGTCGCCAGGGCAGTACTGTTTCACGCACCGCCCAAGGGATCGCCGAGTTTTCAAGCATTATTTCCCCTTAGAGAACACTGCATCTCCGTTACACCGAGAGGGCTGGCGTAGTGCTAACGTTCCAAACTCGTATTCGGCAGCGGTTGGGTTCGAATCCCGGCCGAGATGCCGGCTATTCTGACAGGCGTTTCGTGATTTTCATCAGTCCGTAAAGGTAAAATGCCGGGATTGTACCTCCGCGACCGCTTCCTCCAAACCCTTTACAATTTATCTCTCATCTTTCCTTGGACCCCAGTAGTCTGTGCTTCGGAAAGGTCCCCCCCCCAACAGATATGAAATGTTGTTTTAGAATGCGCTGTGAGTTTTACTTTGTGTGTAACTGTACACCGCCTCTTCTCTGTTCCCAGAGCATCTGCTGAGGAAGCCCCTCACCGTCATAGACCAGTTCCACTCTCATCTGGAGCCCATGAAGTTCCTGCGACAGGACACGTTCCACGACCAAGTAAGTACAATCGGAAGTCATAATGTCTTTATTATCACTACAAGGAAATCGCAATTGCAAAATGTCGTTCTATGTAGCCCATTTCCTGAGCTTGAGAACAGTTACATTTTCCTGCGCCAAGTGGACAGAGGGAGCCACCGGAAGGGGCAGAAGCAAAATGGCTACGTCGGTTGAGAAACTGGAGGCTCGCGCTGTGATACGCTTGCTGCATTTGCTAGGGAAGTCTGCCAGGGAGACCCATGGCTAGAGGACCGCTGTGCATCAACGAGGTGTACCATCATATGACAGTGGTCAGGTGGAAGAGGCGCTTTCATGTGAACAGATGAACCCCGAAGTGGAAGATCATCTCTCGCCGAGGAATCGGGAATTGTGGCACAGGTGGGAGCTTTGATCCTATCCGATAGGCGCATAACTATCGAAGCTATTGTTCATGAGGTCCGCATTAGCCATGGGTCGGTTTTCAACATCATCCATGACGAGTTACACCTGACAAAGGTCGCTGCGCATTGGGTGCTATAGCTGTTGACACCAGTTCAAAAACAGCAATGGATGAATGTGGCAAAGAAACTTCTAGAGTTGTGTCGAGACGAAAAGGTGGAATTTTTCGACCACCTAATCATGATGGATGAATGTTGGGTATATCATTATGACCGTGAAACAAAGGAAATAAGCAAGCAGTTGAAACATGCAGACTCGCCGCCACCAAAGAAGGCCAAATCCCAGCCGTCATCAGGAAAGGTGATGTTGAGTGTGTCTTGGGGTCGGCGGGGTGTCATCATGACTGACTATGCACAAAAGGGCGTCACCATCACTGGCGAGTACTACCGGAACCTTCTGAGAAAATTATGGAAGGAAATCAAGAAAAAGTGACGCGGAATGCTGGGAAAAGCTGTGCAACTTCTTCACGACAATGCACCGGCTCATGCAATGATGACACTTGCTGCCAGTTTGGGATATGGAATTCTCCCTCATCCACCACATTCACCAGACCTGGCACCGAGCAACTCCTTCCTCTTTACAAGGCTACAGAAGCCACTTCGTGGTAAGCGATTCCAAGACGATGACATCATTTCTGCAGCGGAGGACTTCCTAAACAGTCAAAATGAGACCTTCTATGATCAAAGTATCCAGCAGCTAATGCATCATTGGGGAAAATGTGTGGCCTTGCAGGGGGCATATGTAGAGAAGGGCTGACTCACATACAGTTTCTTGCACCTGTCTCTGTTTCTTCTGGGTCTTAATTAAAATTTTATGTCTTCCCCACATACAGTAGTCACCAGTCTCACAGCAGTCACTGTCTTCTGGGATATGACACCGTGTTGCCTGGTAGAAGTTCATACAAATGTGTACCACCTCCATCTTCAGGATCAAAGAATAAGCGAAACAAGAGTTGCCATCAAAAGCTTACTTCTTCCTAGTTTCGTACTATTCGACCCTGAAGATGGAGGCAATATATTCCTGCGAGAAGTTAATGAACTACTGGGCTACACGGAGTCACATCCCGGAGAACAGTACCCTTCAGCGGCAAGGTGTATCTCATGCCGCTGCTATGAATGTCATTTTGTTATCAGTGTAAGCGTCAATTTATGTTACGACTGAATTTGTTCTTAAATGGATCTCAATTCTGTTTCAGATCACGTTCAGCTATTCGCATTACAGCAGGGACGAGATGAACGTCGTTAAGATAGACGGATTCAATAAGCGAATTGACCCAACAAGGTAAATTTCAGCTGGCCTTTCAGTAACATTTCTCTAATAACATCTCTGAGGGTATGGGGTAAATTGCGTGGTGCAAGCTTATGGAAGAGAAGTCCATGTGCTCAGAAAGATGTCTGCTGTGGTACTCCTGGCTCACATCCTAATTAATTAGGAACTTCATAATGTTGATGTATTTTTATTATTATTGCTAGTGGGGTGGGACTAAGTCCCTTGGACTGCTGCCACTTTTGGTCTATGGTACCAGCCCCAGATGATAGGTGAGGGTGATTGTGGAGCAATTGGTAGAATGAAGATTGGCAGGGAAAACCGAAGTACTCGGAGAAAACCTGCTCCAGCGCCACTTTGTCCACCACAAATCCCACTTGACCAGACCCGGGATCGAACCCGGGCCGCCGCGGTGGGAAGCCAGCGACTAACCGCTTGTGCTATGGCGCGGCCCAACTATTGATGTTACTGACATAGAAAAATGTTGTAGACAGAATATTGCTTTCATACCATCATCAGTAACTGTAACTTAGGCCGCGCCATAGCTCAAGCGGTTAGTAGCTGGCTTCCCACCGCGGCGGCCCGGATTCGATCCTGGGTCTGGTCAAGTGGGATTTGTGGTGGACAAAGTGGCGCTGGGGCGGGTTTTCTCCAAGTACTTCGGTTTTCCCTGCCAATCTTCATTCCACCAAATTCTCCATCATCATAACCACCGGGGTCGGGCTACAATAGGCCAATCAGTGGCCGCTGTGCCAAGTGGACTCAGTTGGACTCAACCGCCCCACTAAGCGAATTAACTGTCACTTAAGTTCTGACATAAGTGAGTATTCACATTACATTTCTGGTGTGTTAGCATTGCGGAGTAATACACCATTCTGTCCTCAATATGAAGTCAGCAGGCTGTCCAAAATATTGGTTGTTATGTGCCAAAATACCAGAAATACACGTATCACTTGTGTGTTCCATATGATTCTCATGATAAAAAGCAATTATTTCCCTAAAGAGGATTATCTGACTCATCTTTGTTATGAAGGAGTGTGTTTCCTGTGAGGTAGCAAATCTCTCTCTCACACACTATCAAACACACAAAATATCTCAATTTAATTTAAACTCCTTACTCAGGAGCCCTAGAATTAATTTTCCAAATTATGTCACACAGTTAATAAGAAAACAAAATTTCGTCGATGACTGTCCACAGTTATTCGCAGAACTTACTTATACTAATCAGCAAATTCGTTCATGAACACCCAGGTTAGTGAGTACTGCTCAGATTCTGGATGACTTCCATGCTTGAAACTGATTTACCAGGGTGTCGGCTTGGTATGCCCCACCAGTTTGTTTGTCTAGAGATACGAGGTGTACTATTTGAAAACGTGACCCATTGTTTTGGCAATGCAATACTTTAGGAGCCTTTTAGTTTATATATATATATATATATATATAGTTTTAGTTACTTCAGGTGATGTGAGACAGTCCACCTGGTACGTTGGCCACTAACTGGAATATGATGGTAGATGGTGATGAACGTGGAGCTTCCAGTGTAATGACAATTGACAGGGGAAACTGAAGCACTCAGAGAAAACGTGCCCCAGTGCCACTTTGTCCATCATAGATCCCACATGACCTGACCTGGGCTCAAAACCTGTCTGCCGCAGTTGGAAACCAGTGACTAACAGCCTGGGCTATATAGCATGGCCTTGTATGAGCCTAGGACCATGTATTCACTCCCATGTGCCCAACTTTCTTTTCTGTAACTCAGAACTCAAAATATGTGCTTAAAGATTATCCTCCTCTTAGCGTTGCAATTTGTGTGTGCCTCTGTTTCAGGTTCCTGTCCATCCATTGCTTCCTGTTCTCATACTCCAGTTTCTGCCCAAGATGAGGCCAAACGTGTAGTGCATCCAGTGACGCAACTAACTATGCACTGTGAGCTGTGTTGGAGGTTGAAGTGCCATGTCATCTGGAAGCACCTCGTCACTGAATCCTATATGGCAATAAATAGAATGTGATGAGGGCTCCCCGGCAACATAAAAGTGGCATCTGTTTACCATCTTCGCCCAATAAGTGTTGCAATGCATATGTCGTATTTCTGTAGTCAGCTCATTACTCTGTGGCTTCAAGAATATAATTCCATCAAAAGAAAACCAGAAGCCAAATATAAATTATCGTGTTTTCCCCAATATAAGCTGTGCTTTTTCCAAAAATTTGTTCTTTTAAAATCACTGTGCATTTTATAAGCAGGTCTTAAAAAAATAAAATGTCACTAAATTATTTACATCTGCTCAAAGTACATAGTTCAATGTTATGACCAAGAAATGGTGCTTTAGCTCTAATTAAATGATACATCATTGCAAACTCAGTTGAAGTTAATGTTACCAATTACTGAGTCATGTTGGAAATGCATCATAACCAATTTTGTTATGTTATTAGAACTTCTTATCAACATAAAGACTTGCAAGTAATATGTTTTAAAGTAATGCAAGTGCATAATTCTTTTTTTTTTCAGATGTATATAATTTTTGGGACTCAGCTTATATTTGAAAAAATGCAGCTTGTCTCTAGTGTAACATTTACAGAGTACGTAACTGGGAGGGATACCATTTTGTATAACATCGTAAATAAAGTTATGGGAATAGAGAGATTGTAATGTGAACCTATAAAAGAGAAAACTCAGCAAAGATCTAGAACAGAGACCCTAGAGCTCCCAAACATGTCATTTTTAATGTTCTCCATCCATTAATGGAGTCATAAAAGTCATGTTTCTTACAAGAGCGGAAATATTAATCTGAGCATCATTTTATAGGTCTGTAAAAAGAAAAGAAGTTTAATAATCCCTGTGGCAGTGAGCAACAAAAATGCTTGATGAAACCTGTCTTGGATGTTGCAATAAAGTAGAGAAAAACAAAATGATATACAGTTATTGCAAAAGTATGAAAAATGTAACTGTTTCTGTCATGACAAGTCACGTAATGATATCAGTGCTGAATTTTGTTTCCTTGTTAAAATCAGATTAGCTTATTGTCATTCTTCATTTCAAGTCTGAATAGAAATATGAAATTCTAATTTTTATAACAGTTTATATGCATATTTAGTTCTCCCTCCATTTATTCTGCCATGACAGCATCAAGTAGATATTACTTGTGGCTGGACTTCTTTTTTTATGGGTGATTTTAATATGCTTTCAGTATCGCAGACTGGTTGTCTGGTAGGGTGATAGAGAAATGATGAATTGGAAACAATTTGGAAGACAGCAGTTGTAGCCTAATTAAGGTACTATTCCAGCATTTGCTTGGAGAGACCAAGGAAAACCACAATGGAGCTAGGAATACTCAAGATTCAAACCAAGCACCTTCCAAATACAAGTCTAGGCCCTTACCACTACATCAGCTTGTTGGGTCACTGGATTTGCATAATGGTTTTACTGTGCTCGTGGCATGGAAATAAGGCCCACTGATGGTGGGGGGTGATTTTGTTCAAGGCTTCCCACTTTGTGCCTGCTGCTGATTTCTCCTCCAGCCACCTCTGCCCTACGTCAACCAGCTCAAAGAATTTGTTCCTAGGAAAGGTTATCAGTTCCAACATTCATGGGATTGAAATGATCAGGCTACAGAGGGACAATACAGTAATATGTTCAGGGGTAGTCATTGCACTTCATTTTCTTGCCTTAAATATAATTAGAAAACTCTTACCATCTTACATTTTCTACTCATTTTCACCACCAAAGTCAAATTGTCTACATGAAATATCAGTTGTTAGGTTGCAGGTATTCTATACAATAAAGTACTTCAAAAGAGTGAATTTTAAACAATTCTGATGATGGTAAATCATGCTTAGGAATACTGGGTTCCTGGACTTTGTGCCATCATGCAGTATTCCTGAGCATTTGAGAAACTGGGCAAAAGGGGGGACATCTGTTCATTGGGGTCCACCAGAAAGAGCTAATGACTGGACTGGTATTTAGAAAACCCAGATGGTTGAAAATACAATTAACCGTACTTATGTGATGTGAACCTGAGAACATTTAAATGGTTTGTTATTCCAACAGGGATTCTTTCAACACAGCTTACAGTTTCATTGGTAGACAAGTCCTTTCCTAGTCCAATAATTCAATTAAGTTAATAACTCTTTTAACACACCCAGCTGAGCAGGTTTTCCCCCATATTTCCATCTAAGGATGAAAACAGATGCAGTTTCTGAAACATTGTGCTATGTTTGGAATATTGCACATTAGGTAATGACCAGTAACTTTGTAATACTGACCTTCAGGAATATTAAAATGAGACTTTCATAACAAGCAGTCCATAATTACATTAAGTGCTGTGATGGGAAACATTTGCCTCTGACTTTTAGCAATAATTTTGTAAAGAAAATAATTATGTGAATAGATTCGGCTCTATTTATGTAGTCTTCATTTACGAAGATGTACGAGGACAATATTATTCAATATGGCTTCTTTTTATTGGATTTTTAATACATGTTTACTAGTCTTCTGAAATATTAACCCATGACACATGACAGATGTCATGACAAGGTACAACAAGCCTTTATGAAGTGGTCTCATATATAATACATTATTCAAATAAGTCTCCTGATCTCTCACACAAAACTTCATAATAATAATTTTTAAAATTAGAAATGAAATTATTCTTTATAAAAATATTAATATTATCTGCCCTTAAACACTGAGCATTTCTTTGTACACTTGTTAAACATAATAGCATAGAGCCCATTGAAATTTGAGCAGGACACTGTTGTAGTTAACAACATTATTTGATACATACAGTAGGCCACCCCACTAGCAATAAAAAAAATAACAACATTATTGGATGTGGAATATAAAATCTACTGTGAAAAGTATCTCTATGCACATGTGCAGCAATTTGTATGTAGAAAAACAAACTTTGTTAAAAATAGCTAACCTCAATAACTTAAGACCGGGAAAGATGGCTAAATTTGTATTGAGCTAATAAACTTAGTAGAATAGTAATATGCAGTAAATGGTGCTGCCACCTAGAGTTATTATTTTGGGCAAAGGTTTATACTGTGATACAAGTGCAAACATACCACACCTTTTGACACCATAGATGGTGCTGCTGTCTGAGCAAGCACTAGCCTTTTATGGATAAAGATACTTTTATACATTACTCCTAGAAGTGGAAAGTGCAATATCATTCTGAAATGCTCTGTGTCCAAGGAATGAAATGGTGTTAGGTTTGCAAGCCAATATAATTTATAACTGCAGTGATAATTTAATATTTGAGAGCTATAAGTAATCATGCATTATGCTCAAAGCACTAAAGCAATAAGAATTTTATACTGTGAAAATATATATACATTAATATATATATAAAAATTGTAAAATATGTCTGTAAATATTATATACAGCACTTATACTATTCATATTAATGTATATAAATGTATAGTTATTAATTGTAATTACTTCTGCACAGATTGACAGAAGAAAGTTAGTAATGAATTTACATTTAAGATTGTGTGTGGCCTTGCTACCTACTGCCTTCACCTTCACTTTTGTACCCTGAAGATGGAGGTAGTGTGTTCCTCCATACATTGGTACCTGTCTGATGAACTACATGGTTCACATCCTAAAAGACCCTAATATTAATATGCACGGCTGTAAGAACCTCAAATCTCACATGAATTATAGAACTTTATCAGAACACAGCAGAAAGAGGACCAGATGTAATATTAAAAAAAAAAATTAAGCAAACCATTATTTTTCTCATACTTCTGGTTCTGGGGTTTTAGAATTAAGAAATTTTGTTTTTACCTTGAAACGAATGTAGAACTAAACATTTGGGTCAGTGTCATTCTCTTATATACAGCAGTCCCTTGACAAATAAAGGAGTTAACTTTCCATAAAAAAAACATGAATGGTATAACGTGGGGATCATGGGAAACTGCAGGCTCAAGGAGTCGTTATTACTGCTGACACTTATCAAAGCAGAACTGATTTGCCTGTTTATTCACTAAATACGAAGATATTATCATTAGCCATTATATATGAATGTAAAAATGTGTCACAAAAGGACAAAAGACAGTAATCAGGAGGCCTTAAAACTAATCTTGGGTACCATTCCTGCCCTGCTCCCAGCAAATATTAATCTCTTGGTGTGGAAACCATAGATTATTGTCCATGCATACACAAAACTGCAGATACATTAAACCAAATACTGAGGATGGAAAAGCATATACTTAAAAACCTCAGTTCACAAGGAACTGCTGTATTTTTAATTTATGTTAATTGAAGTTATGATGAGGTCATTGGATTTTTTCCAGTTGACCTAATCCTTCCAGCCGCACTATGGCCCTGGGGTTGACTCAGCCTCTAACAGAAATGAGTATCAGGAATTAATTAAATAATTTTCCTGGGGAGTAAAGCGCGGTCGGCGCGTAAGGCTGACAACCTTACCGCCATCTTGGAGCTGATTGTCTACATAATGTGGGACCCTCAACGTCTTACAACCCTATGGGCCTTCACGGCCTCTTACAGAGATAGTGTTACTTTTACTTTTTACTTCATATAAATATAAACTTTATCTAGTAACATTTCATAACATCATAAAGACTTCTGATTTGATTTGTCTGTTATTCATGAACTATGGGCTACTTGCTCGCTGCTTGTTTTGGTGATAAAAATTTGATTATCAGCACTTTGTCCTATGAATACAATTATGAGTATGCTGATACATAGTTACGTGCTCAAGACATATGCGGTACCCACGACGCACAACTGTTTTGACATTCCAGACACCAGTGAAGTGCAATATATGGCTGTGTAATCTTTAAAATTGTACAATTGATTTTTTTTTTTTTGTGAAAAAATGTGTCTCAATACGTGTACAGTAATGTTCTTAATTCTTTCCGATCCTCTGCTGGAAGGCTTCCACCACAGAGTTTATGAATTTACAGCCATGTTATGATTACATGCTGAATGTTATATCTTTGCTCCTTACCTTCTGAGACCTTTTTTTTCAGGAAGTTTGGGTATAGATACAGCAGGCAGCAGTAGTTCCATATTTTTAGATAGCAAATTGTCCCCCCCCCCCTTACTGAATTTTTTGACCAAATTAATTTGTAGCTGGTATGAATGAGGATTGCACGAAAAGAGACAAAGGGTTAAGAGAGACAATTTCATGTTGCTACTCAGTAACTGTGATTTCAGCCCACTCAGTTATGACTCTATTTCCCTTGAATTATTTATGAAACCACATGGTATCATAACCCAGAAAACCAAAATCTCAATTTCCACTGCTGTGGAAACATCAAATCTCATTCGTATAACTGCATATATAAAAAGTAACGTTGAATTTTATCATAAGATGATGCAAAAATTGTGGCTGAAATGAAAGTTATTTTTTTTTTCCAGTTCAACTGTATTACCCTACATACTGTAACTTGAGCAACAGGACAATCCTATTTGTATATTTGTTTAATTATTGTTTTGTAAATAAAAAGAAAGTGACTTTTCTCAGAAATTCGAACTATTTTTCTGTTGTTCCTTGCCTTACCGGTACCAACCCTGAATATACTCATTTCAAGCCCCATTTGTACGGGTGTAAAGCACCCATTGGCTTTGTCATGTCTGCCTCTCTATCCATCCTCCTATCTCCATGAAACAACTCTGTCTCCCCCAGATAGTTTTTCATGACAGCTTATATTAAGGAGTTTTATTAAATTTGTTGACAAAATTTAATTTTGGTTAAAATCAGGCAAAAATAACAGACATTTTGCTCAAGAACCTGAGTCCTATTTTTTTTTTTTTTTAAGAATATCTCACTTTCTGCTGGCAAGAAGTCTCTGAGCATGCCTCAAATGCAACAGCAAACATTCTATTTTTCCTATCTTATGCAGACTGACGAATACACTCATATTATTTGAAAGTGGATTGTGATGACAAACTTCTTGACTTCAACCCCTTTTTCCCCCTCAATACTGGGAGATTGAACCACTGGCCATGTGACTCAGCCCACTGTTCCCTCAGCGGTGCATACTGGGACAGCTGAGAACATGCTTCATGGGTGCAAAATACATTGTGTGAACACCACTCTTTTGTCAGAGAGTAAAATATGGTCATGAGTTCTACAGGACCCAGGATCAAGAATGGCTGTGCTGGGAAGGGCCAGCAGGAATGTACTCTACTTGACATGTTATCAAATCAATCTATGTTGATGGAGACAGAAGCAGTATTTGACATAAATTCCGTGCTGACATGGCTGATTGCTGGAGAACACTTCATGCAGTCGCTGTGAGAGCTTTGAATCATGTTTGTTCTGTGAATGTTTAGATGATTAAAGAAAGTAAATTAAAAGAGACATCACAAAATTGAGCGATTTCGTCATGCAGATTAAAAATTTAGCTGTGTGCAAGTTCAACCAAAATAAATGTCTGTCTGTCTTATTTCTATTTTGCTGGGGACCGCATTGACATGACTTAATTTTGCCTGATTACATTAAAAAAATAACTAACTCCATACTTAACACAGCAGAGTTCTTCCCGAGAAGCTGAGAGTCACTTAATGGCCAAGAGATCCCCTTCCTTGGAGGAAACCCAGAAATTCATCCCCATATTCACAAGCACAGCACCCAGGCTTCAAGCCAAAAACAATGACATGTGATCTGTATGCCCTTTGTAATGACTATAAGCCTTTCGTGAAGAGTACTTGTCTTCTGTGATTTGTCACTGTGTATACTAAGTTTATGCAAAGGAACTATGGTACTAATATTATAATTTTAGATATTCCTCAGATATATGATCTTTCATCTCTTTCGTGTGTGAATTCTGAAATTGAAGAATTTAATAGAAAATTGAAGAAAATGCAACCATGTCTCACTCTTAGAAACAAATCTTAAGAGAGCATGTTTCATGAAGCACGGAATTCTCTAGGAAAGACTCTTGTAGTGAAACTCAAATCCCTACAAATTAATAAATTAGTAGGAAAACGATTTCAAACCCCGATCAGTTTTACTTGGAGAGATAATGCTTTGTTGGGTAACGTAGATAGCTGTAATGAAGAGATGAAAACTTTATCTGGTAATGTAAATGAATATGGATAGTGAGAACATAAGAAATGGTGAACAGAGGAAACAACAGAAGGAAACTGGTATAGATGAAATTAATCTGCGCAGAACCTCTGTCAGGCAAGATAAAGGTACCTGTAACTAGAATGGAGGATTTTTTTTATGGTAAGTCCCTCACCAGATGTAATTGGTAGAGATTTTAACATTTCCAAGGAAAATGAGGGTGAGAGAAACTCAACAGGAGGATTAAACAGCATCTCAAACTCAACAGATGGTACTGCTAAGCATAAACTGGTAGATGAGCATAAACCATATAATTAGCAATAATCATCATTTTATACATCAGACATCTACTAATACTAATACTACTAATACTATTCATCAGAATATTAGAGGTTTAAAATACAAGACTGATGAGTTAATAAGTGCTTTATGCCCTGATTTTCCACATGTTTTATCTTTAACAGAACACCATATGAATTCTTTAGAAAGGAACAATATTAATATTGATCATTACAACCTTGGTGCTGTGTACTGTGGGAAAATTCTAAGCAAAGGTGGTGTATGTATTTTTGTGCATAACTCTATAAATTATTCAAATATTAATTTGGATAGATTTTGTATAGACCAAATTATTGAAATATTTGTATAGTAGCTGTCCATAGAGCACTATCTGGGATTTTTTTACATTTTTTAAATAGTCTAGATAGAGTTTTAAATACTATTTATAGCTGATGTTGAATTCATTGTATGCGATGATATAAATATAAACTACCTACAGGATAGCCCTAGGAAAAAAACAGCTTAAATCATTGTTATTGTCTTTTAATCTTTTTCCCATAATGATTTTCCAACTAGAAGTCAGAATAATTCTGTTTCATTAATTGATAATATATTTATTGACTATTCTCTATTTGGAAAGTATTTGGTCTTTCCTATTAATACTGGTCTATCTGATCATGATGCACAACTCCTTATTATTAGAAATATCTACTTGCAAATTCATAAACATAAAAATTCAACTATTTCAACTATAAGAAATTTTGATGATCAGTCTTTGCTTAATTTTAAAATGCAATTAAGCTATGAAATGTGGGATGATGTATTTAGTGGTAATGATGTTGAAACCATCTTCAACTCCTTTTTAAATACATATTTGAGAATTTTTCATTCTAGTTTTCCATTAAAAAGAAATAATAACTA